CCCTTAACCATACGAGTGGCCCTTCTCTGGACCCTCTCCAGGTTATCCACATCCCTCTTGAAGTGCGGCGCCCAGAATTGCACGCAGTACTCCACTGCGGTCTGACCAGCGCCTGATAGAGGGGGAAGTATCACCTCCTTGGATCTGTTCATCATGCATCTGCTGATGCACGATAAAGTGCAGTTAGCTTTGCTGATGGCTTCGTCACGCTGACGGCTCGTGTTCATCTTGGAGTCCACTAGGACTCCAAGATCCCTTTCCGCTTCCATGCCACCAAGCAGGTCATTTCCTAGGCAGTAGGTGTGCTGGACATTTTTCCTCCCTAGGTGCAGCACTTTGCATTTCTCCTTGTTGAATTGCATTCTGTTGTTTTCTGCCCGTATGTTCAACCTGTCCAGGTCTGCCTGTACTTCTTCCCCGCCCTCCGGCGTGTCCACTTCTCCCCACGGTTTTGTATCATCCGCAAACTTGGACAGAGTACACTTCACTCCCTTGTCCAAGTCTCTGATGAAGACATTGAAGAGTATCGGTCCAAGGACCGAGCCCTGCGGGACCCCACTGCCCACACCCTTCCAGGTCGATACCGACCCATCCACCACCACGCTCTGGGTACTACCCTCTAGCCAATTCGCCAACCACCGGACTGTGTAGTCATCCAAGTCACAGCCTCCTAACTTGTTGACCAGTATGGGGTGGGATACCGTATCGAAGGCCTTCCTGAAGTCTACGTATACGACATCTACCCCTACTCCTGCGTCCAGGTGTTTTGTAACCTGGTCATAAAAAGAGACTAGATTATTCGGGCATGATCTACCTGCTACGAACCTGTGCTGGTTTCCCCTCAGCATAATTTTTCCTGCTGGGCTCTCACATATATGACCCTTAATAATCTTTTCAAAGACTTTACCAAGGATGGAGGTGAGACTGACTGGCCTGTATTTTCCTGGATCCTCCTTCCTCCCCTTCTTGAAAATAGGGACCACACTGGCCCTTTTCCAGTCCTCCGGGACCTGGCCCGTGCACCACGAGTGCTCAAATATTCTTGCCAGTGGCTGTGCAATGACATCAGCCAGTGCCTTCAGTACCCTTGGATGGAGCTCATCCGGGCCTGCTGACTTAAACGCATCCAGTTCTTCCAAGTGACTCTGCACCATCTCAGGGTCTATGCTTGGTAGTCTGGTGCCTTGCTGTTGTCTCTCTATGATCCCATTGTGAGACTTGTCTTGCCCCTCGTTGAGGAACACTGAGGCAAAAAACTCATTGAGGAGTTCAGCCTTGTCCCCCCTGTCTGTCACCAATTGCTTTTGCCTGTTCAGTAGTGGTCCTATTCCACCCTGGGCCTTCCTTTTACTCCCTATGTATCTGAAAAACAATAGAAATAGATACCTTGCAAGAATCTCTACCACCCCAAGATGTTCATCTGCTGCCTATGGAGGTTTAACTGTCAAGTCGGAGACTTGGTGACTTGGGATGTGAAATCTAAAAACCCTGGACTTTATTCTGTTCCACATCCGATTAGCTCATGACTGGTTATTTGTAACTGCTCTGAAATGTAGAAGAGTATTAAATATAACAGCACCCCATGGGTAGTGGATTCCCAACCTCCAGGTTTAATGTAAATGATGAGCCATGCATAATGCATAGATTCAAGAACAAATGGAAGAAGACAGAATTTCTAGCCGTAAAGACTTCCAGACTTATTAATGCATGGAAGGATGTAATACCAGGCAGCGCAGTTAATTTTCATGTATTCTTACCAAATTAATACAGCAAGTTATCCCTTATAAAATGACGGGGAAGTGGATAATCTTTTGAGTTGTGCATATTTCAGTGTCTAGCCTTTTACATTTTTATTTATGCTAGGAGAAACGAAATGATTTGGCTGAAGCAAACTTTCCAAACTTTGGATGATGCCAAAAATTGGAGGACAGTGTATTAGAGGAAACAGTGAAACTTGGTTCAGTAGGAAAGGGATGTTGGGTGACTGGGATAAAAAATGGCAAGTGAAATGAAATATAGAGAAGTATAAAATAATGCATGGGAGAATAAGGAATTGTACTAGTACATATATACATATTCAGACCCGGGTGGAAGTTCACTTGGGTTTACCTCCGACCTGAATTTGCCCTGAATTACTTCCTTTGTGCACAGGTGCAGTATAAACTCATAAAAAGACTTTAGGGGCCTGGTGTTACTCAATTTAGTGGCAGGAGTTACAGCCTACAGACTAAACTTCTTTCTGGTGTATTAGAGGTGTGTGTGTGGAGATGAGGGGTTAATTTTTTTGCTATGTTGGTATATAGCTGGAGAACCTATTTACTTTGAGATAATTATTCTATATATAGGCCTGTTGTAAGGGGAAGTGTAACCATTCAGGCTAAATCTTATGCTATTTGGCCCTTGGAGCATAACTGAGATTAGACCTTGACCCCGATAATGTACAAAACAAAGTTATATCTGAATGTGTCTTACGTGCTCTTTCCTTCTTGGTCCCATTTACTTTACTAACTGTCTGCAAGAAGCATCCAAAGATTCCCTGTGTACATGTTGTGCCTAACTCAATAAACTGAACCAGAGGATCACAGTTTAGGTTACACTAATCTAGGTAATATTCATTTAATCGATTATATGAATTGCTAAATCTAGTTAGCTATTAACTGAATGTCTGAGGATGAGGTGTTGAACATGCTTCACTTGAAGACAATGGGGATTTTTCTATTAATTTCAGTGAGATAGAAGTTTAGGCCCAAATACAGCAATATTTTGTCTCCTTACTCAAGTAATATTCTCTTTATCCATTTTCATCATGCACATTGTAATCCTTTTGCTTCTACATCACAGGTTCAACAGTGTGACCACTCTTGATCTATACACTCACAGCAAAGCCTCCATCTGTCTCATGGATTATAGATCTAAATTGGTAACTATCATTTGCTTGCAATATTTATTAGCAGTTATGTTAATTGTTCACGATACGGTTTCTGCTTGTGCTAAATCTTCTTTATGGTATTAGCATCTGTATGAACTGATTTAGTATTACGGTATTATTTCTATTGTGAACTTTATTCTTAAGATTATAGCTTGGCTGTAAAAATTCTTTCTTGATTAAAACTTGCCACGCAGTATCTGACTAGGGTTGAATTTTAATTCAGGAATTTTATTCCTGAAAATGAGTGGTTATTAGACTGCATACAATATTTGAATTTACGTTATTGGGAAAAAAAAAGACTTGTTTTTTAAAATAATCTAAACTATAGTGTTGGTGAATATTTGGATATTTTGAGAATAAGTATTTTACTCTTTCAGAAAGTGATTAAAATGTATATGAATAACGTTTCTCCTATAGATTTTTACTAGATTTGTAAGTACCAGAGGTGAAAGGAATCCCCTGGGTTATCTAGGCTAGTGGTTCTCAACCTAGTTTGTACCAGGACCCATTTGTAAACATTGATGGTCAGTCCTGACCTAGTAAATAGTTTAAGTAGAAAGCACACAAGTATTTTGGCCCCCAAATACTTACTACATACTATAAGTTAAAGCAGCTCAAGAGTCTTAAAGACAAAAATCAACGTCAACAGGAAAACATGAACAGCAATATCCACACGTGGCTCTTCATTACTCCCAAGTGACATTCATCACTGTGCAAGCTGCATTGTGCAAATGGCCAGTGCCCTTCACTCCTGACTTGCAGGCCATAGGTGGAGGGAGAAAATATTATTTGGGGGGGGGGGCGAGTACACACACACACTGCCCAGGAGCGGGAGCTTGGGGGTGGCAGATCAAGGCCCCACAGTGAAGGAGGGAGTGGGGCAGGGGCTGGGGTGAATGAGGCCCCAGGGCAGGTCACGGGACAGTCAGAGCCTTGGGCAGCTCGTTCAGGGGCACGGGTGGGCTGCCACCATTGCCTCCACCCCATGCACAAATCCAGGGAGCACATGCCCCCTGTCCCTCCCCCAGGATGCACACAGTGGTGGCAGCCCCCCTGTGCTCCTGGACGAGCCATCCGGGACTCTGACCATCCCACAACCCACTCTGAGGCCCCATTCACTCCAGTCCCTTCCCCTGCCTCTGTCCCACTCCCTCCCTCACTGTGGGGGCCTCGATCTGTGCCGCCCCCATGCCCTTTCCCCTTCACAGACTTGCCTGCTGTTGTGGGCAGTGCTCCAGATGCCTCCAGGCTGAAATCCTGGCTGCATGCAGGCTGCAGCTGTGTGTCTGTGTCTCTGCATGTCCCTTGCTGCACACCCGGAGCCTGTGCCTGGGCTGCCCTGCAGCCCTCTGTTCTGCCACCGCTGCCCTGCATTTGGGGAGGCTAAGCCCCATGAGCGCTGGCCTTCCACTGCCTATGCCCCCAGCCCTGCTGATGCCCCTGACTCCTGACCCACGCCCCCTGTCCCCAGCCTCCCAGTGTGTGGGGCAGGGTGGGGTGGGTTTGGGGGGCATGTGCTCCCCCACAACTTGTGTGCCCACAGTGGGCACGGGGTTGCTGCCTGGCCGGACCAGCACGGGCAGGAGCCGCCTCAGCGGCCCAATGGGCAGGGCTCAGTGTGGGAGGGTGGAGCAGGGCCCAGTGGGCAGGACCCAGTGGGAGGGTGGAGCAGGGCAGCAAAACTCATTGCTGCTGTTGCCGCTACCACCAGGACCCCCATGCCAGCTGCACCTCCAGCAGCATGAGGAGTAGTAGATATGGGGGGGATGCTGCCCTCAACTCCTCCTACCACCAACCGCTCATGCTCTGGGCCATGTCTCTACCCTACCACCATGGTTCAGCCACCACCACCGCCTCAGGCCACATGAGCTGCCTATCCCCCCACCTCCCCCCTGGGAAGAGCTGTGGCCTGGGCGGGGGGGTGGGGTGTGGCTGGACCATGATAGGGGGGGTAGAGAGAGCTGTGGCCTGGTGCACAAGTCTGGCGGTGGGAGGAGGTGAGAGCAGCATGACCCCCCTCCCCCTTCCGTTAGTCCTCGTGTTGCTGGCAGTGCAACTGGTGCGGGGGTCCTGGCAGCAGCAGCAATGAATCCCGCTGCCCCACTCCACCCTTAGACTACATATTCCACAGCCCCTGTTACCCATTCAGGAGGGAGTTCTTGGTGCTAAATGGGCACATCCACACATCGCTCTGCATTGCTGTAGCAATGTGCTACGTTGCCATACGACGTGGTATGGTGACATAGCCATCATGTGACTCTACACATGATTGGCAGCTACTTTGCTGTAGTGGCATACCCCCCCCCCCCCCCCCCCCCT